CACCATGTTGGCCAGGATGGTCTCGATCTCTTGACCTTGTGATCCACCTGCCTTGGCCTCCCAAAGTGCTGGGATTACAGGCATGAGTCACTGCTCCCAGCAATTTTTTTTTTTTTTTTTTTTTTGAGACAGTCTCGTTTTGTTGCCCAGGCTGGAGTGCAGTGGCACAATCTTGGCTCGCTGCACCTTCCGTCTCCTGGTTTCAAGTGATTCTCCTGCCCCAGCCTCCTGAGTAGCTAGGAATACAGGCATACACCACCATGCCCGGCTAAGTTTTATATTTTTAGTAGAGATGGGGTTTCACCATGTTGGCCAGGCTGGTCTTAAACTCTTGACCTGAGGTGATCCGCTGACCTTGGCCTTCCAAAGTGCTGGGATTACAGGTGTGAGCCACTGCACCCGGACTATTTTCTTAAAAAACAAAAACAATCTGCAGATTGGGGAGACACAGCCACTGGTGTAAATTGCACCACATTCTGGAGAAGAGGGGAACTGGCCTAAACAGGAAAAGTTTCCTCTGTAGCTCTCAAATAGGTCTATGTATGCAAATAAAGGATTTAAATTTCAGTCCCCATTGGCTGAAAATAACTGAGTCCTGATTGGGTAGTTTCTTTGTTTCCTTCTTCTACTTTCCTTTTAGGCTCCAGGGGTACATGAGCAGGTTTGTTGTTGTTACATGGGTAAACTGTGTGTTGCTGAGGCTTGGTATACCAAGATCCCATCACCCAGGTAGTAAGCATAGTACCTTTATAGGTAGCCTTCCAACCTATGCTCCCTTCCCATCCTCCCCACTCAAGCAGTCCCCAGTGTCTATTGTTCCCACCTTTGTGTCCATGTGTATTTAATGTTTAGCTCCCACTTATAAATGAGAGCATGCGGTATTTGGTTCTGTTTCTGAGCTAGTTTGATCACAATAATGGCCTCCAGCTGCATCCATATTACTGCAAAAGACATTGAGTTCATTCTTTTTTATAGCGGCATGGTGTTCCATCGTGTATATATGTATCACATTTTCTTTATATAGTCCAC